TCAGTGTATCGCAGTCGAAAGCCGTTATGTAATCTACGAAGCCAAGACGCCAACAAAGCTATCTGAACGTAGCTGAATAAAACCGATACTCCAGATCTAGCTTTACTTTCCACCAAATCGGATTTTCTTATTTACTTTTTCTTTGAAATATTGAATTGACTAACACTTAGTATTTATTAACACTTCTCCACTAACACATTTGCTTAAAACAAAAAAAACAAACTCTACACTCAGCATTTGTAGATTTGGGAGCAACGTGCAATAAATTCTGTATAAAATATGAAAGACAAATATGACATTTTTTTATCAGCCGAAATGAAACTACCGCGGTGAATATTTCATGCCCAAAAAGTCAATACAATGCGAAAAGGGACAATAGGTTAGCGAACGTATGTGTTCTCATGCAAACAGTGATGTTTGTCGAAAGGATTTTTTTTTGTTATGAAATGCGAACTTTGTCGAAAAATATATTTTTTTAGTCGCGTTTAAAAAATAACAAGATTGATTTGATATATATGTATCTCATTTCATATTAAACATTAATTAATTTTCAGAACTGATCATTAATGAACATGATAATTATCGTAATATATAATTACCCTATTTTGCATGAATAATATTGTACATTTAGTAAATTAAACTATTTATATAGCGTTTTCCAAATTTATATCATTACCAGAAATACAGTTTCAATTACAGTTACAACATATTCATATAATTAAGGTTAGTTGTTATATTGAACTATTGCACATAGATCTTTTTGCCAAATAAAAATAATTGATTAATTTTATAACGAGAAGACAAATAAAGTTTAATAGTATTTTTTTACTACAATCAAATAACAAAAACTTTCTTTAGGAAATAATACTTCTATAGTAATTGTAGATTAATATTTAAAGAACTGATTTCCAATAAAACAAGCATTATTATTTCTTCTACAAAACATCAAGAAATTTATATTCTCAAGTTGTACAAAATCTATGTTTAAATCCTAAATTAATTAATAATTTATTTTAATGAAAATTTATAAATTTTTATACTTACAAGATTTCGATATAATTTGAAATATCGATCATTTAAAAGAAATTAAATCAAATTACCAATATTCGCAATAAACTGTCGTTAATTTTTAGTTATACTTAGTTCTTATCCAAAGAATTATTATAATTATTTGAATATTGTATGGAAATTACTTAATATTAATAAATGATATTATTTAATAGCTTTATAGAATTTATAATTGTGCATTCATAAATTATTTTATAACTTACATAATTTTCTTTTCCAAATTTATAAAAGTAATTGTGAATATATAAATGTTTCTACTAAATATAAGATGTGTTAAATATGCGTTAAAAATAATCGATAATCGTTATGCTCTATAAATTTATGAAATGCTGTGTATTTATATTTAGAATCACTTTCCGGTGTAGTCGATTTTCTATCAGCAACGTAGATAATAACGCCACAGTTTTATGCGGCAATAAAATTATCCTTGTTACGTTGCGGTGGAATGAAAAATAATATCACCCTTGGAATATCGTGCGAATTACGTAATTGCAACAAATGTTTCGAGTTTTCAATTGGACATAAACAAATCATAGTTAATTATCCGCATTATTAGGAAATACTTAATTAAACGATGCATGGGTATGATTGATGTTTTCGCGAGAATGACATTAACTTGGACTTATCCCAATAAAAGTTACTTGTTGATAAAACTACTAAAGTTTGATGTTGTCCAGAGGAAAAATAACATGCTTTTGTTATGTCCTTTTTAAAGTTATAAATATTTGTTGTTGTGTGTTTATGCTTTTGAATTAATATAATAATTACCTTTAAGTAATTGATTTTTACTAACGGTGAGATTAACTAGATTTGGATCTTCTCATATTGTGGATGATCTTTGATATACTCTTTGAAGCTTAACGTGAATTCCTGGCAACCACAGCAAAGACCCTCCTCTAGAATCTAAAATCCAGCGAATCGACGTTGCTTAAATGTAATTAACTTAAAATAATAATTTGTTTTGTTAAGAAACGTTTATGTAAACGTAAGGAATATTATAATTTAATTAAATTTCTATAATGTTTTTTTTTGTTGTAATTGTGTTTATTATATTTTTTTGTAGTCGATAAGTGATTGAATAATGAAAGACGTGGGTAAATTTTGTTGTTCTAGAAAATGTGTAAGCATGTAAGTAATTATTTTTGGATTGATTTTTAACGTTAAATATTTGATTCGTGTTCGACTAGGAAAAGGAGACCAGCCCACTTTTCCAGTGTCAGTGTGGTCAGAAGTGTATATGCAAAGATGCTGTGGCGAGAAACAAATACTGTGCTGAAAACGGCGAAAATATGAAAGAAAATCATCACAGAAAAGTATACTAACATAGGAAATTGAATGAACGGTCGTCTAGGGTGAGTGTTAAAGCACTAAAATTTGGAAGTTCACTTGGTATTAGGAATGGTAAGAATTGAAAACAATCCTTATATGTGACCCGACCGTGAAAAGCGGTGTACCCGAGACTGCATGCTTTTCCGAGCAACCGCTGGTTCGCAACTAAGAGCTTACTCGTTATTTTCCGTGTGTAGCAGCCATATTGGACATGCGTCTTTATAAAATTACATCACAATCAATATCTGGCAACCCAACCTGGTGACATACTCTACATTTTCCCTCCTTCCGAAAATAAAAGAGATACAACAACTACAGACTAAGAAATTAAAGAGAAACAACAACCGATTATCGATTATTTCGAAAATACTTCGATCAATTGCTTGGAAAAGTATACATATACATCACTCGACAATAAGCTACAATGGGGCGCAACATCCTAGCACTGCGTTTGCACGCACAACTTTCGAAAACATTACTATTGTCAAATTATCATTTCATGTGGTAAGTACATTAATACAATACTACAGTATTGTAACAGTAAATCCTCCAATAGTTTTATTATTATCATAATAAACATTACACATTTTGTTTCATGTCATCATCCCACAAACTAATTTGTGACACAAACATTATATAGAGGTTTCCATATAATTAAGTTATTTACAAATAAATGATTGGATTATATTTGTATTTTGAATTGAAGAATGTAAATTTTCAGAACTTTTTTACTTTTGGTGGATTCGCCGGGTAAATAATCAACAAATAAATAATATCAACAACAAAATCTTTGTATTATTATATAGAATCATTGAAATATAGTCTGTTATTAGTTTTCGCCATAAACATTCATACTTATATAGTATTTACTTTTATAAACAATAAATATTTGGTTTATTTAAGAAAATTACTCATCAATTAAATAGTTTGTTTTTAATAGTAATTATTATATAGAAATGTTCCATTACCTTAATAACATTAATATTCTTTAAAAGTAATGTAATTGTTTAAAATTTCCTATTAAACATTTTGATATTAATTAACGCAAAATAGAACAACATTATTATTTAAACAATAGTTTTATTTAGTTCAAATTATTTATTTGAATATAATTAGCACAAAACTTTTAACACTATTTTTGTAATAGGAATTTCTATTTTGAGGATGTTAAGAGGAACTCTACTTATCAAAGACCCTTTATGTATTACAGCTTACGCAAGAGATGGAGCCACATATAGACTACAAAATATTTGCTACTTCTTTAGCATCAAAATTAACATTCAAATTCAAAATTGTATTTTATTTATTTAATACTTACATTACTATTTTATTAGGGTTAGCTCTTACAAATCGCGGATTAAAATCAATTAATAAAAACGATTTACGCAAAGTTTTTCAAAACAAAAATTATGAAACTATAGCTTTGCTGGAAATACTGTAACTATGTTAAAGTTTGATTATTGATTAACATATTTATTGTACGAATTCTTTACAGAATTATTTAATTAATGATCTTTAAAAGAAGATCCTCTTACAGCAATCATCCAGCTTTCATATGCATCTTTTGGATCTATTAAATCCAAAATGAAAAAACACTGCTTAAATGTATTGATACGAGTAACGTTTGGTAACAATCATATTAATGTTCTGTTGTTAGTTCTTCAAATATAAATAAAGCACGGAGGGTTGAAAAATTGATGAAATTCTTACAATAGAAGATAATGAACAAGATATTTTCTTCAGTTTTAATTATATACATTTCAGGTAGAATAAGTGCGTCTACCCTACTTAAATTTACGCTTTAAGCCACATATCCAATATGTATTGAACAGGTAGAATTGTCCCATCTGCTCATTGTTCGACACCACCTGCCCTGTGCTTTGTTACCACAGGTTATACAGGTCCTAAACATCTGTCGCCACAAGGTGGTATTTTTGTTCTTTACAAATTTCGAAGAGATCATCAATTTGGAACAAACGATTCGTCTCATGTTTAAGAACACAAGGTGTTCAATTCAAACTACTTCGCTTTGTTCACTTTGTTCCATTTTCAATAAAAATATTGTTAACAAGCTAAAATACTTTCGTTTTTACCCAAAATACTAATAGATTTTTTAAATTTTATTATTATTGTATTGAAATGTTAAATTTTGTTGTTTTTTTTTTGTATTGATGAAATAAATATTATATTATTAAAAATAAGTACAAATTTGTATTAAATAATTAAAAATTTAATAGCTAATTTTTAATTGCAATTATGCTGTTACACAATAAGATACAAAGGTTACAGAATAATTTATACAAAATATTAGTACAGAGTATATATTTTTTTTATTTATACGTTAAAACGAGAATTGTAAGCATTTCACATTTATTAATATCAAAAAAAAAAATCAAAATTTATAGTGTCTTTTAAGTACATTGAATTCTACACAAATAGTATCTATACAGGTAAATATATATATATTTTTTTACAAACAAAAATAATTAATAAATAATACTCATTTGAGATTTCATCTTACAAATCGACTACAAAAAACTGGTATATAAGGTATATTATATATTCATCTAAAAATTTGGTCTTACGTTAGAAAAATTGGTCATATTAGTTAATAAATTATTATTTACATATATAAAATAGCACAAAAAAATGTATGCCTACTTAAGAGATATAAGGCTAAAACACAATTTATTACTAAATTAATAAAGGAAATCAGTTCAAAATTGTGCTACAAAAATAAATACTATATTTGAATTACAGAAAAAAAAAATATTTTGTTATAATTGACATGGACATTTTCATGTTGCTTCTGGTTTCTTGCATTATTATTTTTTTTTGTTACGAAATAAATAAATTGTGATGTATTTTTTGTTTTAGAGTATTAAGTAGTTCACTTATCACAGTTGTTATTTTTGTTACAATAGAATCATTGTTAATTTGCGATGTTATAATTTTATTTTGCTCTTTGCAGCTTTGCCGTTGCTCTCTGCCTCTTCAGGTTTCTTCTGCCTCAATATAAAATTTAAATTGTATGCTGTGTTCACGGCGTAATACACATTTGCATTCAGCGGCAAAATCATCTCTGAAAATACAAAAAATATACATATGTTAATATATATGGTAAATTTAATTTTAAGCAAATTCAAGTACCTTTATCTGGCAATACTTGAGCTAAAGTATAATTGTCTGGATTTCCTTCGAGCCCTAATTTGTACATTGCGTTTCTGATTACTTGCGGCGTCCTTTCGTTATTGCTCAACATAATACTCTTGTATAATACGATTCCTTCTGTTTCCACTGAATTTGTTTCAAATGTCACCTTTATAACATAAAAATCTGGACTGCTCTTCTGCGAATGACTCGGACTTAAAGTTCCTGACGAATTTAAAGGTACCTAACGCAAAATAAAAATGTTATAAATAACTGATTGACGAGACAGTAAAATTATATTTACCTGAAGTTTGTTATCTCTTCCAGAATGTGAACTGTTCAAAGATACATCCAGTGAGGGCAGTGATGAGCTGGAACTGGAATTCGACATTTGCGAAGGGCTTAGCTTCCTTTCGATACTGTTGTGAGGCGAACTGGGCATACTGTCTATGTCGCAGTAGAATTGAGAACTGTTACTACTTGAGTTACTCGCGATGGAATCGTTCTTCTGGTGTCCAGAACTTTTCTTCTTCACTTTACTGACATGATTATTTTGGGAGGGTTCAATTTGGCAACTTAATTGGTATGCCTCCCTATCATCCAAGACCAAGATGGAGTCGAACCATCGATCGAAGACGATGTCCCCAATTAGATTATACGCGTTTGCTGCGCCTTGCAGCAATTTGATTTGAGCTAGGACTTCAAACTCCTTCCGGCGCTTATCAAAATTTATGAGTCCATCCGAAATGGTGTCGGGAATTGCTGTATCTATCATGGTTAGGTCCGTTAAGAACGTGCCCAAGTAAGGAATTGTTCCGAAACTGATGTTCGCACTGTGATTATTCTGACGTTGGAAAATCTTTTGCAATTGCTTATCATTTTCGCCGACGGTGTCTGCAAATTTCGCAGTACCTACAAAACAAATTATTGTTGTTATAATTTGAGAATTCATTGATAATTATAATGTTCATTACCTTCTCTCATGAGTAATTCTCTTTGAGCCCACTGATTGTTGTCCTCGCTGAATATCCGCGCCAATTCGTCGAAAAGTTCGATCTTCTCTTTGGCAACAACCGCCCAGGTCTTCTGTAATCTATAGATGGGGTTGCTCTGTAGACCGCTGATTATGGCTTTCAGACTGGAGAAGTTTTTCAGTACACGCAGCTCCTGTGCTATGTCGATCCAACAAATAATTATGAAAGCTCTGTCTAGAGCTTTATGACCTGGTTCGACTAGAATTGATGATATAACGCGGAAGGAGACGGCGTTGAATTGATTCACGGTGGCCAAGACTGTGGCTGCCTCGTGGGATCTGCTCTTGTCCCTTCTCGACCACACGGCTCCAAGGCATTGATGTGGGACCAACTTCTTGAAAAGATCCTGAGGCGAAATCGGAAAAGTTTGATAAAGGTTTTTGTCTTGCAACAACTTCTGAACACTCTTACCACATCCATTCTCGTTAGTTGCTCCGCAAAGTGCCTCACCGGAACGTTCGGTAAACGGTAACATTTCCATTCGGGCACTGCTGTACGTAAAGCTAATGTGGCTGGGGGTATAAGTAAGGTATCTGTTATTTTAGGTGGTTGCTCTCTACTATATCGGTCCAATCTGTGGCGTACTTTGGCTTCTAATTCGGTGGCTGGCAGATATTTCTCGCAAAAATTCACCAACTGTATAAGCGCTGGATGATGTGGAGACTCTTTGAAATCCTCCGGGTAACTATCTAGCCACACATGCAGAGCAGAGATAAGCGTCCTAAAGAATAAACGATACTTAATTTACTTCTAAACGGAACATTACAAATCCATCTGAATTATTATCATGTTCGCTCATAGACGTATTTACAATCGAAATGGGAAATGATAAATAAATAAACTGAAGTTTGTTTAGATCCACGAGATTTATGCTCGGGGCGCCGTTAAACTGTTTATAATAGGAATAAGAGAAAAACACATATTTTATAATTGAATATGTTTACATTGGAGACTTTATAGCCATTTGGGAGCGATTTGAAAACCGAGCGCAGATGTTATTGTCTTATGCACTAATTATCAGATATACTTACTTTCTGTGCTGTTCATGGTGATCGGGCTTGCCATTTTCTGGCGGATCTGCGAGCTCCTCGTACCTCTGCAGGAGCAGTCTCAGAACTTCCTTTGGTGATGAAAAACTACGGTAAGTGGCTAAAAATACGTTTATGTATGTGGTTTCGAGTTCGCCATCATCGGTTGCCAATGCCTCTACGAGTCTTTTCAAAGTTCCTGCTTTGACAAAACGCACTCGCACCGTCTCCCATTCTAAATGTGATATTTCATCATCTGAATCCTGAAACATAAATAACAATCATAATATTTCTCTCAACAGATATTTTACATAAATAGAATATATATTAAGCACGCATCTAAATTAACTATATTTATTCAACAAAATATACATATTTCTATTACAGATGTAAATTATTAGAAGGAATTCCTCATATGTAAGTTAGATAAAAATTCCAAATATCTATTTGATTGTAGCAAAAACTATTATAAAATTATACATCCTTTACATAAGTATGCACATATTAGGATAGATAATGGATACTTACAGAATGGGAGGATGAGAGACTTCTCGTAGGCCGATGATAGCGAACCTTCTTGAGGTAGACCGTGTATAGAGCCCCATCTGCCTTCTCCTCTCCCCACAAACGCCATGTGGGCTGCTGGAACAAACGAAAGGAAGCTACAGATTTCTCTTCTTTTCTTTACAACATCTCGATACAAATCATTAAAATAAATATAAATATATATATATTTATTATGAAACAACTTTCCCCGAACAGTTTTATTTTAATGCACACTTATTACATTTCATTATTATTGCGTTTACATTCAATGTGGTTTTCACTCCATTCATTTATACAGATACCCGTAATTCAATTACACTTCTCATTCAAATTACGCGCATTTTAATTGCTTAACAACACTATTTTTTCAGTCGCAGTCCATATGATATAATCGTTTCAGAGAAACTGAAAATTAATTGATATAATTTCATTTTATGCACATTCATTTAATTCTTTTTAATAGTTTTATGGCAAAAATCGTAATGAACCAATTGCCGCTTCCTACTAAGAAAAACATAAATTAATAACGTTAAATTGACGGCTTCATTTATGTGTATTGAAGACGCATGTCTACTGTATAAAGTCAACAATTCTATAAATTGAATAGAAAGCAATGCTAATTTAATTCCAAGCTCCCAAAGGCATTATCATATTAAGTCTATTTGTTGTATGCACTTCCTCAATTTATGAATCGTACTTAAAAGCGTATTATATCACACATGTAAGTAATATCATTTATAATTAAAACAAATTGATATCTATTTCGTTTTCCGGATAACATTCGTTTCAAATGTTTAAATAAAATACATATTTAATGGCTACAATCTGTGCCAAAGTGGTCTTTCAATTTCAGAAAATACATTTGCAATACATTACGCTCGAGAAAAATATATAAAAATGTAGTTTGCAGATGAAGACGTGCGCTGGAGATTTGCTGATTTTATCGCGGATGCTGGAATTGCATTAGCAACTCGAACAGAACGTGAATGCTGCTGATGCCAGCAAAAATTGCATTTGTTCCAATTATTCATTGATTCGTAGGGATCTAGTTTGTATGACCTCTCCTTCCAAACAGAAGCCTATTTTTTTACTGATTCCCAACTGCATTTAATCCTCAGAATGACTCATGTGATGCAAAATTCGTATGCATGAGGTCGTCCAAGGAAAACATGCAGATGCACCGAAGTGTATCGAGGTATTCGGATGGTTATTATATTAAAGTAACGATTAATTTCTATTCAAAGAAGTCACTGTTCCATAACATAATTCTAAAGATTTAAGAAAACAAACAAGAAATGAATTCGGTTTCCAGTCTGATGGGATGACTGCTTTTGTTTTCACTATTAAACGGATCAAAAGTGTAAATAAACAAAATAGTGGAAATAGATTGTGCGAGGCATGGATGGTGTATTGGCACCGTGAATCTGTAAGATTAGCGCGAACTGAATGATCTCCCCGAGGAATAATGTCCGCACGTGGACGAGGAGTTACTACAGTAAATGATACTCATATTTTCTGTTCATCCACCTTCGCAGCTCGCAACACTGAATGGTACCATCGACTTGTTTATCAGAGAACAACAACACGCATTAGGTGATATTCATTACACGATGCCTGCTGTTATTATAATAATTATTTTGATTCCGAAAATTCACCGGAATAATAGATTCAGGGAATAATTGATACAATATTCCATGAATTTCGAACGCACGTACAGAAGACGATAATTATGAACGGCTTCCAAATAACACGAGCATTAGTAGGAAGTATCAATTGTAATGCCATTATCGATCCGGCTGTACGTTGAACTATGATAATGCACGTCGTTGTAGCCTTAAGCAGACCGTATAATAACGCACACTTATATATCTCTTTGCACGCACAAGGGCTTCTACTAATTACCTGCAATCTTAAGAATCCTCAGTGCAATTGACCTTTATACACAATCGGACTAACCTTTGGAAACATAACAAACAAAGGAATGGTTTGATGATGTCTGTTACATAAAATGTTACGGACGAAAGCCCTACCCGGTTTCGTACACGCTCTTAATTTGGAATAATACCATGTTATTCTCATTTTGCCTCTAATAATAACAATATTTACATTACTCGAAATAATTCTTCTTCCCAGTCACCAGTTTCCTCGAAATAATTATAACTCATTAAAAACAACCATGATAAGTTAAAATTCTAAATCAAATATACAATTTTAATTAAATAAAAGAGGTGTTGAAGTATAGATAGATTACGACAATGCATGTTATTGAAAATCTCAGAAGATAGTGTATCCCTGTTAACAGACAAATGCGTTAAAGTTCTTGACGTGACCCGGATAAACTTCATGTATGAAGCAAAGCCAACTCGCGTGGAAAATCACTAGTTATTTGAGAAAAGAAAATGAGGAATTCGCCAATTATTAATTCATTAAAAAAATCCACTTTAATTAAGTTCGAGGCTGCGGCTCTATCAGTCAGGAAACATCATTATTTATCTTATGTGCATTGTAATAAAGGAAACATTTCCTGCTTTCATCTCATATTGTCTAGTTAAACGCTTTTAATAACGCTACAAACATTTGATTCATTCAATTAAACATATATCAAATGGTCCAGTATTACTAATAGTTTCACTACTTTCAGTGACTTTTAGTTTGTTATTGATATTATAAACATGAACGGTATCGCATGTGTTCATTAAAATATTGTATTTATTGAGAATTGATGATTACGTATATTGTGACTTGTCAAATCTGTTTATGTAAATGCACGATTGTCAGTGTCAACGTGAAAATGTGACAAGCCGTCAGAAGCACACAACTGTGACATGCTGCTTCTTCTATTTTCATTTGTTCGCAACATTCTCCCAGCGTCAACAAAGAAAAAAGACGGATGTATTATAATAGTTCAAGAAAATTGAAGTTTTCCATGTCTATAATAGGTTTGCGTATATATAGAGCAGTGCATCTTCGTGAATTATAAATAAACGCGACGGAAAATTATCGATCCGCGTTCACCGCATTGGAAAGGTCAAGAAGCATTGCAACTCCTTTGTGAATTCCGAAAACGTAAAGAAACTAGATTTCGACTAACGTTCCTGGCTGAATAATATAATCTCTTACGAAACACGTTTCAGGCGTGCAGACACCTGAGAGATACTAATCTCTAAGTCATTACCATATAAAGTAGAGAGAAAAATTGCGACAATAGTTTTAAGCGTTTCTATTGAAATAATTTTATATTTAATATCAATGAAATTGCCGTCGAATCATAAATTCATTGCGAAATTGATATTTCTATTTTAATTATATTTGATATTATATTCTAATATGCAATGTAATTTCTTCATAGGCCATTAGAAACGTTCAAAAGAAACACTTTGCGTTCGGTGAATAGTTTTGAACTTAATTAACGCGCAAAATCCTTTTACTTTTAAGATGAATATTTACGGAATATATGAGCCACACGAAACTAACGAAAGCGAAATGCGGCACTCAGCAACGCATAGTAATTGAATAATTAGGTTTATAAATAAACCGGTTGTAATTATTTCTTGAATCTATAATAATATTACTTGTTTTACCTCTAAACTATACAATTATATCAACATTTAGTATCGATTTCTGTTAAAAAGATTTTAATGTACGTTGAGTTACTGATCAAGATCTAAATTTGTGATTGTTGCAACAAATAATTTATATTTGTAGCAAGAAAATGATTATATGAAGTTAAAAAATCTGTTTCTTTTTTTCTGAGATATTTTAATTAGGACATTTAGAGTGTTCTCATTAAAATTAGTAAGTTTTATATGTACATTTTCACACAGCTTAATTGTAACTAAAAAAGAAAACAATTATTTATGTAGTTGTTTTATTTTTTATAATAACCAAAATTCCTAAAATATACCAGACTTTTCGAAACCTCACAAAAACAGACTTGATTACTTTGATATTATGAAAACCGAACTATAGAGAATCGGGACTGATCAAAGCCGCATGATAATACTACAATCTTAAGAATCATATTTGAACAAATGTAATAACGTGTACGAGTGGAATACTTTTGTTTAGAAACCTATTACTGTCCTAGTGTAAAGTCCATTTTATTTAATTGCTAGGAAAAACGTCGTTTTTTGCAACAACAAAAGTGTTCAGATTGTAATTGTTGTAATTAGTAATCTATGCATCTACATATAACTGCAGGTTATTTATGTTAACAGTTTAAATAACATATAAACAAAAACATAAAATCTCTGAAATGCAAATTGGAACAAATTCAAGGAAACGTTAGACCTTCGTATAAAATATTTCTATATTTAGATATAAAGCAATTGAGATAAATTTGTTGATATATTTATATTTCATAAATAATTCAAGATCCAGATTGCGTTGAGTGTAGTTTGCTGGCAGAGCAAGAATTCATACACTTCGATGTGTGCATTTTTTTTCGTATTAGTGCATTTCTAAGATACCGTGATTCAAGAATTTGCATAGCCTATAAATAATATAAACATTTCTTGGAAAGTTGACGAACGCCGGACGACATTCCTGCATTTGCATCCATCTCGCTCGAACACGTTCAGGTAATAATCATACCAGTTAGTTTGTGCATAAATTAAACTTTATAGAGGATTGCAATTAGCAAACACCGAGGGGAAACAGCTGAAGATGTAGTTTGTACCAGTCTGCGAGGAGAAAATTAATTTCAGATAAATGCACCCTCGAGTTACATAATTATTATTTAACTAAAATTAGATTCAAGTTTTTTTAAGAAAAAATACAGAATCTTCATTTTATTCAAAGTTACAATAATCACGTTCATACTAAACTTTTAGAACTTTTAGACACATCACAAAAAAATGAATCGCAATACTTTCAAAAGTATAAAAATCTAAGTATTTTCACGTTCATAATTGATCATCTAAATAAAACTATGCAAGTGACATGAATTAGAATAAAAATAGAATCTTCAAAGTGTTTACAAAATTCAAAAGTTTCCGGGCAACGCATAAATATGCGAGGGAATGAAAAAAAAAATTGGTATCAAGGGAAAATAAACCAGGTTATAAATATTTAAGAGATGTACTCTTTTTTTTTACATACATTTATTATGGTTATTAGAATAATAATCTTTGAAGCAGTGACATAAAAACGTGTTATTCCCTCAGCACATGTTTCCGAACTGAAAAATATATATATTTTCAGTGGAAACGTAAATAAATACTCCGGTTTCAATGTCAATCGCATAGCAGCTCCAAGGGCTAAGTAATGAATACGCAATGCTTACGATGGGAAACCAAAGAACACTAACACTTGAGACTGCATCGTTATTATATATTGATCCATGCCCGAAAGGCGTACAAACCAACCCCTATAGGAAATTACAGTGAAACAGAAGATGCACTGTACTAAATGAAAAGAAAACAGAAAGGGGGAATGAATCTTTCCATTTTATTATTGGATATCCTAACAGAAGGTTCGTTTTATCTATTTATAATTAAATATATTTTATTTTTAAAAACTTATTATAAAATTGCTATTGATGAATAAAAATAAGAATTTTTTGTGTGTAGAAGAAAACTCTAAATGAGTTCAAGTAGCTAATATTCAAGTAATGTTAAAGAGACCTTTTGACTAGAAATTTCTAGGAAAACAAGTCATAAATCCACGTAAACAAGTGGACCGACACGCTTGAACTTTGCTTTTAAAATACAATCAAGATTTTATGGAAGAATCGAAGTCGCGGCGCTGTGACGTAACTGAAATCAATAAATTTGGAACGTCTCTACCTTACATTCTAAGTGCAACTGTATACTTTATAACCAAAATATAGTTTTTAAATCATGTCTTATAAGTTATAACAAAGAAGCATTTCTTGATGTCAATGCCCTTTAAATCAGATATTTCGCCTACTAAATTTTAACAGTTTTACAAGATGATTTTGGCAGCGTTGTATATTTGATAGGTTGCGTGTTATTAATAGTCGGTTTTTTTTTGTACGTTCAAATGGATTGTTTTGATTCGAGTGGCGATTTATTACGTAGCTATGATACATACAATGAGTGGAAACCTTATAAATCTTTTTCTGCGGTGCACGTGAAATAAGAACTATGATTTTTCTTAAGTTTCGTTCAAATAAACAATGGAATTTGTAATTTGTGGCCAACTGCTGCTGCTGTGCGTCACAACTATTGTTGCTAACAATGGCGTTCGTTCAGAAGTCGGTGTAGAGAATTGATTCTCCAAATATCGTCACAGTTTCGCCTATGATCACGTCGCAACATTAAACATAGTCCACATAATGTAAACAAAAGAAACAAATCAATACGGAATGGAAACAAAAGTAGAATATATTTGCTTTTTCTATCATTATTAAGATTATTTATGTTTATGTTAAACTAAAAATAAATATGAATTTACTTATAAATATGTGCCTCATTTTGAAATAATTGTCACGATTAACTAACAACCTTCAATTAAAATAACATTAATCGTAAATCACTGTAATCTAATTCTAATTATAGTTTTATATATGATTTACTTTTACTTATAAAATATTGTTTACAATTATTATGTGAAGAGAAGGATAATAAAATGAGAGGAATTAAGCTAATCCAGATAAAATGTACCTTTAGATAGCGTATCTGTTAGTTAGTTAATCCGAAAAGAAGTAAATTTGTGTGGGAACAAGTAAAATATTGCGATGAGACTACTAAGTGGGTGCGCCCAGCAATTTTATCATTGCTGCAGAAAAGGTTGTTCCAATCCAGATTACAAACAGTAAAGAACTATACATTGTGTTGACTATAATCTTACATAGAGAAATCAACTTTGAATTTGATTTTTATATATTATTTCTATTAAAAAATGTCTTATCGTCCGAACAATTCTGTATTGCAAATATTGATTAATTTTAGTAAATGTAGATTTAAAAATTGGCATACGTTCTATAAAAATACAAACAATATGCTAGTTTAAACATTTACTTTACTCTCCCTTAATGTAGGATATCATCTAACTTTGTAAGATTAATGGTAAAAGCTTTAATATAGAACAGGGTTTATTTTTTACACACCCCGAGCATATCATGTTTCACGTGAGCAGTCTGTTCTAATAAAACAGTTAATATCTATACTCTTAACAAAGGAGGGACCATGGTGAAGTAAACACGCATTGTATAACCTAATCAGAAGCAAATGCATTATTTTGTAAACGTTAAAGCTAAATAATTATATTAGATACATAGACAAATGTTCTATTAAATAATGTAATAGAATGATTGTATATTTACAAAACAATAAATCAGAAAAACAGTGTGATGTATTATTGTTTGGAATTCTAGTAACTGCTATGAGTAACAAACACTTACGATGTACCAAAACTTCATCCTCAACTATGTCAACAATTCAGCGACGTCGCAAGAAATAATTAAACGTTACATAAAACTTCAGGAGGATTTTAATTAAAACCCGTGAGCACACACTAAACGCACAAGAACATTTACGTTGAGAATCAGACGTCGACGCGACAATTACTAACATACTATGATATCAGTCAAAGTGTCGTGCTCTTTATCAATTCTGCGTCATGTGTTTGTATACACATACTCGCAAATAAAAACATTGTGATTTCTTCGACCGCAACACTAAGTTTACTCGATTAACCGAATAAACAAAACTTGGAATTGCAGTGATATCGCTTTAAATAGAAATTCTTGAACAGCTGTAGCATATCAGTACTAAATAGATAAATTCGAAAAGATGACCTTTTTTGGTCTCGCATTTCTTTAATGGTCTGCGTACGATTGTACCGATGATTTGCTGCTTCGCGCTTTCACGGAAATTGTCCAATCTGCAGTTAAAAAGAATTGCTGGAAAATCAGCAAGAATTGGATTTCATTTCCAACTTCTAAGCATTAAGAGAAATAAGTTTGAGTGCATTGTTTGAAATTATCGAGCGTTGCGTAAGCAACAATTAGAAAATTATCATTGTAATGACGTTGTTGCTTTTACGATTGTTGTTAATAATATGATAGAGAAAACGAATATGAAAACGTGTATTGAACATTAGTAATAATAAATCCAACTTATTTTTGTTAAGAAACTAGTTTATTAAATAATATTATAGTTAATTTCTTAGAATCCACTGATAGGAGTGCAACATTTTGTGCTTCGGGAATTCCGTCGAATGACGTGACCTGAAGCAATTCCAGCATAAATACCGAAGATTATATTGAATAATCGTTGTATAGAGCTAAAGCAGTCTGCAAAAATCTGAATGTAATCGCAACTTTAATGGAGAGTTAGTTACTTCAATTACAAGAAGCAATTTCTCCGGCACGCCCATGACATCCTATACATTTATTAGTAAATTAATTGGATTGGATCTATGAAAGGCTTCATTGTGCGTGCGAAATGTACAATGCATGTAACATGTGCATTCGAAGAGAAAAGCTGTATTTAAAATAACAGATTAATTATAATAGAAGAAAAAAAAAGAAGTTTAATAGATTATTTCCTTCAGTGTTGACATTTACGAGGAATTTCCTCCCTCGTATGCAAACGCATTAATTTATATAGAAAGTTGCAGTGATCTTCAATGACACAGTTCACCTGTATCCTATTGATGCATATGAAATAATAATAGTAACAATTCCGAGTTTCCTAAAGAACGCAATTACTTAATCCGTAAATTTAGTTTTGATTATGGAGCGATCTCTCATCGCAACCGAACCATTCCGCACTCAAGCAAATAAATACAATGGACTATTTGAGATCTTATTTACGTCTTGAGATTGGTTATAAATAGCTCAAGGGGTTCAATTCTGGAAGTGCAGAAGATGTAACCGGAAGGTAATTACAAGATTCTCGAAAAAAAGAACAAATTACGAGGACAGCTTTAATCGAGGCCAATTGGAAAATGAATTTCGTAGAATTACGTGTAATGATGACGATTTGACGCATTTGGTTGTGGCAGGTGCATATGTATGTAGTAGAGAGTGTGTGGAAATCTATCGATTTCTCTATTATTTTTATTTATCTTTTCGTCGGATTCTCTCCCCCAACATGCCTTGATGCATGCCGTGTAATACGATGAAAAGGGCAGTGCTCGAGACTTACATGGTTACCCCCACCGATTTCCGCACGTAAAGCGAAAAGGGAGGAAATGATTTTTATCGCTGCAAATACACCTTGCAAAACCCTTTTTTATATGATGGAACTTATCAATATTTGTTTACTACAGCTACTACTTTTTTTTTAGATATCGATTAGTAAATTTAAGTTTGTTATTTGAAAATGATTTGATTGAGAAGGCCAAATTATCTAATGATAACAAGTATAAACAATTTGTTTAAATTCTTGGTATATTCTCTTCGTGTTTAATGTTAACAAAATGAGTAAACTAATGTTGATTAGTTTACTGACCAGATGCATGCAGCTAGTAGGAGGGTGAGTTAACTGAAATTGTGACAAGCTTATCTGGAATGTTTAATTGCAATATGCGGGTTTCCAATTTGTGATGTAACTAACGCACCACGGCGAGCATTTGAAAAATATGATTTGTGCAAAGGTAAATAAATAAATAGATCGTTTTACATTAATGCGCTTTTCTATATGCAAATTGCGTTTATATAATTGATAGAGTTGTATCGCAGCATTCCCGCATTGGGATAGTTTGGAAGGTAAGTGAGCTTACCTTTATGTACCACTTAGTGTTGTTCTTTTTATTGGACCTTCTGGAGCTGGTGCACGCGGAGAACCGGAATTTCCCCTTGGGACTAGAATCTTTAGTGTTCAGAGAAGGACTCAGACTTCTGCATTTCGATGCAAAAAACTTGGTTCTCTCTGCTACACTGTAATAGAAGTCTTGTTGGAATGTTAGGGTAGTCGCAGTGGGCAGCAGCATCATAAATAAAAACGCGGGTCTTCTCGTAATTCAAACTCTGCACATGGCTCAACCGGATGATGTTTGGTTAGTTAGGGTACGCAACTTTGGGGGGTGGAATGTCTTGTTGATAACAATGTTAGATGATGAGCACGTTTCCAAAATCAATAAAACATTTGATATATGTGGTATGTCCGTCTTTATGGATGCGACAAGTGGAACTGCCTGAACTGCGGTCGCCCGTCTTTCTAAACCGTATGCAACTGAACCTGGTACCGGAGTGTGGGTGAGGGAAGATCAGGCGCAACATAATTGACGGAAAATGGTGATGGGGACGCATGCGCCCGTACCCCCCGTGTGTTTTCACTAAGGGGTGGCTCCCTTAAATTTATGTTACGGGCCAATCCCTCGTAAAAAGCCCTCCGAATTCAAATATAGATTCGGTCTCCAATATCCACAGATCTCCACCCGAATTGTCCATCTACCACCAAGATATATTGCCACAATAACCAACTCGAATTGGCGCCCTGAGTCGGCTTCTCGTCCATCAACAACAGTTCATTTCGTCCGGTGCTAGCATAACATTTTTCCTGCAATCTTTAACCTGCTACTTCCTTCAAAATTCATTCCGGGGCATCGGCCCAAGGCTATTATAGTTATAAAACATGATGTGGGGTCCGGTACAAAGTTGATGTTTAACGCAGCATCCTACTTGCTCTTAATTACCAACACCTACCTCAACGCTTTAACGCAGTACACTTGATTACTTAACTTATAATTACATAAACCACAGAATGCAATCATAAAATTAAATCCAATTTATTATAAATTTTTCAAAGTAATAGCTTTGCAATTGGCATAGTTAGTTTCAATATTCATAAATAAAAATATGTAGCCGACTATTAAAATACCACTTATTTTCAAAACCCTTGTCTCAGAGAAGAAAAATAAAGAGGTATTCGTTAGTAAACTCTTGGAAATATTAGGGGACGTCCTATTTATATCCATTTTTAATAGCTTTATAACCATTACTATTGTAATACCGAAAGTTAATGGTTTGTTTCCAAATATTTGTTTTAAATAATCATTATCGACAAAATACCAAAAAAATAACATGGATTAAAATAAAGCATATTAAATAGTTATTATTCTCAACACTAGTTGGACCGTTGTGAGGCAAAGGACTCTCCGTATCAAAAGGTAAAATTTTCCTTTTTTTATCCCGAGAAATGTTTAGAAAACCGATTGAGTATTTCTAAGTATTTCGGTAAGACTTCGTATGGCACAATGCAATATGAATTTGGGGGTCCCAGGCAAAAATTGTTTGGGGACCATAAGCAAATTGGAATTTCAACCGTCATAAATTGAAGAAATTTTAAAAGAAATATATTTTTATTAGATTTTAATTCAATTATTATAACAAATCAATCTTAAGAAGTAATATAGATTAAATGATGTTAAAAAAAATAATCTAGGAGCGTTTGATGTTATTGATTATATAAAAAATAAATAACAGTAAATATCCTTGAATGGTTATAGGGTAAAGAAAAAGCAAATGCCGACTGCATGGGTGGTGGGAGTGAGTAAATCTGTTCATTATTTATGTACGGTCCCCTTTTTACGGATATCATGAATTCGAGGGCCCAAGAGTATCTTGCATTATTAATAAACGAGTGTGGAGTGAAAAGGGTTGGAGCTGATGTCCATAAAATCTGAAAAAGTGGGGCTCTCGAGATGAGACTCATCGAAAAAAAAAACGGACAAACACGACCGAAACTTATAACACACTTTGTGAACGCGCCACTTTTATTCACACATAAATTCAACAGGTTTATATATCTATTTTTTTCACGGACCAAATATAAATACGCGGAAGGAAAGAAAGAAAGAAAGCTACATACTCGCAGACGACGAATGAAGTCTAGTGTAGCGAATTAAGTGCTCGAAGAGTTGTGAACCTTTCCCATTTTTTATATCTGTTCTGGGTAATAATCACATTGAAATAATGGCACCCAAACGCAAATGAAATTAAACAAATTATGTGTTTATCTCGAAATTATACGTAAACGTTAGTCAGAACATGAGTCAAGATTAAAAATATGAGTTGTATTATTTATTTTGTTTATGTGGACAATCAACAACAAAAAAAATCTTGAAAAGTGAATGCGATATTTCGCGAATATCGATAGCTAACAACATATTATTAAGTACGTCAATGTTCTATCAGAATTACTTCTCTAATCAGTCCACGCTATATAGCATGAAGACATGTACTGGAATTCCAAATAAAACATTGACGTATTTCGACAAACAAAGAGCTTCAATCGTCTCCAATATTATCCTATTTAGACTGTTTACATTACATTTGTTATATAAATCCACATCAGCTAAATAAAAAACCATCAGTAGGCGGAATGCTTATTTTCGCTTATATAATCGCAATTTGATGACAGGAACTGGTGTGTTCCAACGTTCAAACTACAATCCATCACAAGCAAATCAACGCAGCACAAAAGTTTCCCATTAACGTTGCATACAGCTGAAATTCAATTACTTAAATTTCGTACAAGTATTGTTACAAATTCCGAAGTGTATTCAATAATCTATTGAATTTATAATTAATGACGTAGCGTTGAAGTTCCTTTTTTTTTGGTACGTCTACAGTTTGAATTATGCTCGAAACCTTGAGACCATGTAATTACTTACTGCATTCATCAGAAAAGAATGATGATGATGTGACGGATTTAATTGACGCTACTTTTACCATCGACGCCGATTTCCAAAACTAATTTCATCTTATAGAAGAAAAAAAGAGAAAACGTCAAAGAAATAATTGTTTAGTTTTACGTGTTTGCACGCAAAGATTGTATTATTTTTGTCAAATTGCAATGGGAAGCAAGAAGCAACCCATGTTACGTTCGTGTTTTAAATGTTGAGGTAATTTGATCAATGCTCAATTTTATTTCAATTTACTTTGAATCTTTTGTGTTGATACTTTCTAATAGCATAGACATTCCTTAAATGCCAGATGTAATAATCTTCAGGATTCAAGCACTGATCTATATATAGAAGATATTACGATATACTTTCTCAATTGCTACTTTTAATTATTAACACAAACGTGGGTATTCAATTCATGAAATTTAAAAATACCCTGTTTATACATATGTAGAGTAAATTAAGGACATTTTCAGTTAACAGGAAGATGGAAATCCCTGAAAATATGAACTGTATATATGTCTGTACAAATATTAAATGTTAATTATTACTCATAAACATAATTCATTGCCAATACGCTACTTCATGTATACAAATCAAAGTTGATTTTAGTCTTTCCACTTTATTATTAACACAAATATTAGTGTATTCAATTTTCGAAATATTGCAATACAAATTATCGATTGATCATTCAATTATTAACACAAACTTGGGTATAATTCAATTAACAACATTTAAAGAGAATATTGAAATTCCTCATACAAATGGTCAGCATATTGTGACTGCATTATAAGATTACAAATATAAACTTAAGTTTAAAAAACACTGGTATACAATACAACTATCTAAAAGGTATTTAACCAAAAATCCTTGAGTATTAAGAGATTAAATAAATCCATAAATTACGGTATTAATATTCAAATTGAGATTGTATTTTGCACGATTGGATTTTACCTTGAACCTTGTAAGTTTAGAAAATCGATCTGCGACGCTCGCTCTCTTTTCCTCTCTCTCAAAGACAACGTCTTAAACTAAATTATTATAATTTTTTTCTTAACATCGAATTGCAAAATTCCGAAAGAAAAAAATGTACGCGCATACATAATTACGCACGCCTATAAACAATAGTTCATTTTTCTCTCTCCGAATGTGAAAGGAAGTACACAAAGGACGTGACTGGAATGATGAACTTTCAACAACTAAATCCCACACAGCACACAACACAATCATTCTTATGATAAAAGAGAGAAGAAGAAGTAAAAGAAATATGAAGATATTTAACGAAGAAATCCGTCGCAATATGAAAACATTTCCATGCAGAAATCGACACTAATTGAATCGGAACACTTTCTCAAGCTTTAAACTATTTCAAATACGCGATTTTCTCCATTGATATCTTCATTTGGTTGTTTATGGCTTACATATTACACATATACTGTTATTAGCGCAACATCTTGTTACTTACACTGGTTGGCATATCTATAACTTGTCACATGAAATTTGAATATTAATAATTTCGTTGGTTACAGGTATAAATTTGTGGGTAAAGAAACTACCTTGTCCTTATTTTGTAGGGTTAATGTTTGGAATGTAAATAGAAACGTAACGTAACAAAAATATACTGACCAGACTATCCACATCGTTCATTTTTTCCTTGTCATTTTGATTTTGGACTATTTTCTTCAGTTCATCATATTAAACTCCTTTTGAGTGAACTCAAAAAAATCAGTGAACGAGACACCGGTAACTGTCACACATTTCGCAAGTACACCACAATTTACAATGTTAATTACTTCCAATTTGCACGCGAATTTGTGTCAGATTTTCTTTTCCAATTGGCTAATAGCTACGACTATATATATTTTTTTTTTCTATACATATATATATCTCTTCGTAATCTGTCCTACTGTCAATGACTGTCAAACTGTGACAGCTGTCAGGCTGTCACGCCGTTCGTATTGGACAGTTGTTTGTATACACGTTCATTCAATGTATCCAGATTTATTTACTCGCGAGAAATTGCACACATCCCCCGTCACGAACCTGCAGAACTCTTCCGATGTTAGCACCAGGTTCTTGTTCTTCCACGACACGACTGGTTATTACTATTGCTGATAGCTTTCACTGAGTGACGTCACATTTTTTAATACTTAGTGGACCATTGGCTCAGGATGGCGGGGATCAAGAAAGTGAATATTTTTCGTTGTTGTGGAAGAGCCGTGGAAAAATATCACAGAAAAAAGTAACTGTAAAATGAATTAACACGTGTAAGGAGCGCATTTTACGTGCCGATCAAATAAATGACTCTGGAACGATGTGAAAGGCCTAAACGTTCTTCAATTACATGTTAATAAGATGCATCAACAGTATTCATTAGATGTTTTATCGAATTATGATATAAAATTAAATGATGTCTTGCTGATTTGGTTGCATACCTGCCTTCTTGATCTCTGCTTCTGTAGGTCCGGAACGCGGTAAAACCAATTCATGAATCACCCTTAGTTACAGTCTGCCAATACCAGCCTATACTGTTACATAGAACTTGTCACAGCTATAATATGTATACCTGAAAGATTCCAATTCAAGGCCAGACTGTAGGGCATTGAAGTCAGGGATTGGGACAGTGGTCAATTTCTACCTGTTTTACGAAAGGATAAAATTTCGAATGCACCAATGATTAAATATAGTATCAACAACAAGTGGATTAATTCACAGAAAATATAGTTTAAATCTGTATTATAACTTGATTTACATTTATAAATTAACGAAAAAATAAAATATAAATAGATTGAACTTACGAATTCTGAACTATTAAAGCTTATCGTTTTGAAATAACTTATAATTATGGTTTCAAGTTAAATACAAATTAATTACAATTTTTTCTAATTTAAATAATAGTATTGTTTCCATTATTTATTGTTAATATTAATTTACTTATTAATGAGATAAAGCTGTTTGAAATTTTGATGTGTTCCAATTGGTTGGATGGTTTTGAAATTTGTTGTGGCGCAACTGATTATTAGTAGCTGCAGGTGCATTCGAGTTGGCAACGATGTATTATTACTCATTTATCTCCACTTTGGGTTTTGTGTGGTACTAAATACATCTTTTGTTGTATTTATTATTTATTTATAAGCTGTGATAATTCCCTTTTTATTATCCGTAATGTGCTAATTTTGCCCAATACATTTTGTTTCGTCTCGTTGTGTTTTCATTTGTTTTATGATGTCTGGTAAGAGTGGTGATAAAAGGATGGAGCAGGAATACATTGAAAAGATGCAATTTATGTCACTAAATGGTCAGGATGGTGATCCAAGGTATGGGAGGATTATCAATAAGCCAGAATCATCAACCTACCATGACAAACAAAGGTCGATGGGAGCTATTGAGAGCTTCACTGTTGAACGGAATACAACACCCAATCATGAATATAAAATGTATGAACGCAACAATATTATACATAGTTCCAAGTTTGCAACCCCTAAGCAAGTGGAAACAATTGCTGCACAACAGAAGATTGAGGAGAATGATGTTTATGTGCAATGTGCCAAGCCTCAGGTAGCTGCAAGTCCAACTAGATCATTAAGCAATGTTTCTCAAACTTCTGGAAGTCCTAGAACAAGTGTGGCTACAAATGCACCTTTATATGAGAATATTGAATATTACAGTGGTAGACCGAACAATGCTCCTTACACTTATCGAACTGGTAATTATCATAATATTATTGTTCAATAAATATATTTATTTATATTTTAGGACAAAACTATTGCAAAGCACAACCTCAAGTACCAACTGGATCAAAACATGTAACATTAACTGGTGATGCTCCACCAGTTTATGAGAATGTACATGATTATCACCAAGCAGTTCCTGGACCCCAAGTAGCTTATGGAGCTCCTCCCCCATATCCCAATCCAACCTATCAGCAACCAAATTTCTCACAGCAACAAATGCAGCAGCAACCTGTCTACTCAGTTATGCAAGCTCCCAAGCAGACTGCAGCTGTACCAATGCCTGGTCCACAATCTCCATCATTTTTCCATAATTCTCCATCAAAATCGATGACTAAGCAGCAGCTAGATGAAATTAACAGTTCTGACTATGTATGCATGACTGGAAATGTGTCTCAAACACTCAGCACAAATACGCAGTTTCAAACGTCAACAGCTAAAAATTATTACCGTGGTCCAGATACTGGCATTGCCGGTGCCCCAACTAAGCCTCATAAAGAATTTAAGCCAAGTCCGCCGCCGAAGATGGAGAAACCCGAACCCAGAGTTGCGCCGAGTCCTACACCAAGTACAACTAGCAATAATAGTATTAAGTTGAAAATGAGCGGTAAAACTTTGTTGCCATACATCGTAACACCAACGAAACCACGGGGACCTACAGAGGCTGAAAGGAAAATCGAGGAAATGACTAGACAGATTGAAGAGGAAATGGAGAAGCATGAAGAGGAGGGAGAATATTTTGGTATAATTGTGAATATATAAACATTATACATTTTTTGTAATTGAAACTTGTTTAGGTATTTGCCATACATGCCAAGAAAAGGTTACTGGAGCTGGACAAGCTTGCCAAGCTATGGGTAACTTATATCACACAAATTGCTTCATCTGTTGCTCTTGTGGAAGAGCATTGAGAGGTAAGGCCTTCTACAATGTTCATGGAAGAGTCTATTGTGAAGAAGATTATTTGGTAAGTAGAGCCATGCATCATTTATTGGGTTTAGTGAGACTAACAATATTCCATTAATTGAGAAGACTGCAAAATCGTGAATTTTATTATTATAACAATTTTAGATGGTTTTTTATCTAATCTATTAAAAAAAGATAGTATCACATCTATTATTATCCATTTTGTTGTATCTTATATGAAGCTTTTGTAAAAATGTATACATGTCTAGAATATTTTGTTTGTTTTTTATTATATATATATTTTGCAGCATGAGCTATTTTATTTGGAATCAAGTTGTGAATGTTCAGTTACAATGCATGAAAATAATTATATTAACAATCAATTCAATGCTCTAATGAATGGTAAAATAATTTCCAAATTTAAATTGATTGATTCACAATGCGTATTCTATATTACTCTTACTTTTATTTATTTCTTTGATTTTTTATATTCATTTGTTTTGACTTTTATTTTCATTTGTTTGATTTTTATTTTTTCACTTTTTTATTTTTGCTTTTCTTTTTAATATTCTTATAGGGTTGTGAGTTATCAATTCCTGAAGAACCGAAGGTACGTTTTTAGTTATATACCTTTTTACAAAAGCTCCGATAATATTATAATTGATAATTCTTTTCTCTTGTGGTAATAAATTTTGATAGATTTATGAACAAAAATATATATTGGAGTGAAATATATTAAATTTAGAGTAAATTAGTATTAAATCATTTAGTTGTAGTAATTATATTCAGTACACATATCATTTTATTTGTGTTGAGCGTTCTTATTTTATTTTTACTAACTTGATTATTTTTAATATTCAAATAGAATACGAACGTCGTAATATTTTTGTAATTAATACATTCATGACAAAATGTGGGTAAGAAGCTGTGTAAATTACAATACTATGCTTTGTTTACAGTACTCTGGTTTTCAACAAACTGCTGAGAAGTGTGCTATATGTGGACACCTTATTATGGAAATGGTATATAGAATTACATTATATAAATAATCACTTGTAATAACAATTATAAATTTATTAGATTTTGCAAGCTATGGGAAAATCTTACCATCCAGGTTGCTTCCGTTGCTGCGTCTGCAACGATTGCTTAGATGGTGTACCATTTACAGTAGATGTCGATAACAAAATATATTGCGTCAATGATTATCACCGTATGTTTGCTCCCAAATGCGCAGCTTGCGGAAAAGGTAAGAAACTGCTTTCTCATCGATGATTTCTTGCGAATAACATGTTTCTGTTGAAGGAATCACCCCAGTCGAAGGCACTGAAGAAACTGTAAGAGTAGTTTCAATGGATAAGGATTTCCACGTTGATTGTTACATATGCGAAATGTGCGGAATGCAATTAACAGATGAACCCGATAAAAGGTGTTATCCTTTAGAAGGAAGACTCATGTGCCGTGGTTGCCATATAGAACGTTTGCAACACACTCCAAGACAAATGCACCCAGTTGCAGCCACATACCAATACACTGGACAAAATTAAAATGAGATAAGCGCAAAAGAAAATCTGGCGGATAATTTGAATACACTTACAGGATACTGCCAAAATTGATGTTAACGAAATATTTTATCAGTTTAATTATTAGGTGTTATGCTAAATATAACGAAATTTTATATACATAATTTATTAACGCATAGACATTGCAATCAGAGCTCAATATATGAAATAATACCTAATTTCTAATATTATTTTTTTATTAATTTTAATTCAAAATTATTTTTTATATTTCATTTTTTTTTTATGTATAATTCATCTGTGATACCAATGAATTTATTTTTGATCACAATGTACTTTTAAATATCCTTTTTATTATTATATTATATAAATATTTTATTATTATTATTTTTTTTTTAAATTGACTGAAAATTTTATTGGATTGAATCGGTGAAGATGTAATAGTTATTAGAGCAAAAGGGATTTTTTATATTTTATTATTGAGTATTATTCGTTCATTCCTCTCGCTTCTGAAGAATATACAATATTAGTAATTTCTAGTGTAGTTCTGTAGTACTGTTGACAAATAAATGTTCAAGTCTATACAAAATTTACCTTTATTTTTTTTTTCGTTTACAAATGAAATGAAGCTATACAATTGTGATCTTCACTTGATTAGACCTGTTCGCCTTAGATACTTTATTAGTATTGTAGATACTGTAAGGGTAGTCAGGAATCTCAAAGGTGTAGCAACTTTGAAGAAAAGCAGTGAAATTGCTATGTTACCCATATTCGAGGATTGCACCCTGTTTACGTATTCTACAGTTATCAGAGGTAGTTTTGTCATTTGGTAACCAATATCTATACCACTGCAATCATTGAGCTTAATAATATAGAATTAGATTGTAGAATGATTACTTACTTTACGGATAAACAATACGCAAATGCGAATGTTAAAGTTGATACAACAAGGTGCACTGGTAATACTACATACCAATACTTTTTACCCATTTTTTTCAAGTATCGCAGACGCTGCAGTTGACTGAAATTTCGGTGATGCAATGTGCCGACGATAGGCTTGGCATTGCAGGTAGACCTCGATTGTATCAATCCAATTCGAAATAATTTTGACAATTTATTGACGTTACAATTTTGATACATTATTGCAGTGATCGACATTGAAAGATAAACATGCCTATCACTTTAAATCAGCCTACTACTAATACATTCTTTTTCAAATAGTTTCTTAGTACAGTGGAACCTCGCTTTACGAGTTTAATCCATTCCAAAATTTCGATTTTTACTCGAATAGTGAAACATATTCGAAAATATACATAATACGTGTACTCAAGTTTTAAAAATGAAGTAGCAGGCGCACAATCTGGGACTTCTCATCGTCACTCATGTGAAACGTCGCTCGTTAAGCGAGTCATTTTTCTTACAATTCATTTTGATCATTAAGCGAAATGCTCGTTATGCGAGGTTCCACTGTATTTAGTAGAATAAAGATTAAGCAAGTTATATAGAAATTTTTTCTTTATGTAATTATATTAAAAATGTTATGCAACAATCTGATTGGACCTTACATAAACAACGGAGGAACAAGTGTAAAATGCGATATTTTAAAAGTTTCATATCGAATGCATGTTAAACAAAATCACTTGAGTAAGGTTCATGTAGTTTGATAAAAAAATATAGATATTCAATGCTGAAATTATTTATTTCCAATGAATTAATTAACATTATCACCTAAAACATATCTACCTATTATCTTTTTCATTAATCGGAAGATTTTAAATAACATTCATATATCATTATTAATAAATACATTACAAATAAACAAAACGAACTTAAACTATATCACTTTGAAATTAACTAAACAGAAATAAGAAGTCTGTCTGAAAAAAATAAAATAAATTAACAACACAAAATTTTAATACTGTTTGGAAAGACATTATCATCTCTTAATTTAGCTTTGTGTTATTCAAAGTAATCAAACAAACAAGTGCAATTGAAACTATAACATATTCTTTTTAAATGAAAACATATCAGAATAATTCACGCATACTGTTATTTTTATATATATTTTGTTTGTATCATCATTTTCTACAACTATATATTCGATTTTTGTTTTCAATCAATCTCGCCCCTTATAAGAAAGTGTTCGGGATGATCTTAATTGAAAGTTGGTTTCATTTATCAATTCACAAGAAAAAAGAAAACAAATCAATTTTACAACAATTTGCGATAAATCTATGTATTATCACACATACACTCTCTGTACTCAGGCACTGACGTATGTGAAGTGTATTTTAAATATATATCATTAATCAGTCCAGTGTATTTACAGTTGCGTGGAAAACAAAGAGAAACTAAACTAATTAACTAATCTAATCAACCGAACGAAAGAAGCCCTCATCAAAACCTTCATTTACAAGTAATGTCAACATGTATTATCATATGAGCGCCAATCGAAACGAATGGAATTGGAGCTTATATCGAATTATTTCGGATTAGAGCCTATCTAGGGAATATGTAGACACTAACATTTACTTTCATATTTATATCAGTTTAAAAACGGAAATTATTTACATACCTATGACAATATTAAATTCCATTAAAAAATAAAGACAATCAATATATTATATATATATTGCATGTGCTTCGAATATAATACAAGATATGAGAAGACATTAATAATTATTATTAATAGAAAAACGTTAAAAATATTTGTATACATTTTAGGAGACACATATGAAGTCACGAGAATGGGATTTGGAAGTTACTGGTTTTACATATGTAAATATATGTAATATATTTAAGAGCTTGCAAATTAATTGAGAAGTAAGTGAATTTAAATAGAGGCCACTTTCGTAAGATCTCACTTTATGACACGCGTCTTTTTTTTACAATATAACATTTGTTGTTTTCACCTCGATGTTTATTTTTTTGTTTTTGTTTTCAATTACTACCAACGATAAGTTTACGATCGCAACAAGTGTTTACATAAGCGTCTGGATTACTAAATGCGGCCATATTGATATTTGTATTGTTACAATTCAGTTAATTTAAATATATTCAAAAATATATATTTATCATATATGTTTAGACATTAGATGTGAACGATTTACCAACAACAATTCAATATTTAGAATATTATTTTTCTTTTTCATTATATCTTTATGCCCTATTGCAAATAATTACTTATAAAATATACACACATTTGAAATATTGTATTTATATTATATCTTGTAACTATCTTAAATAACAAGTACTCGGCTTAAATCGACGTTGTCCTTTTATATGAGTCAAAAATACTTAACACCATGACTTCGGTAAATATTAAAATCATTTTGCTTTATTGCGTATTTCAAAAAATAATGAAAGTTCTGAATCAGAGATAAATACACGACGTCTTCATAAAATTCTCAAAATGTATAGTTTAAAAATGCATCGAACTGGTTAATAAAAAAAAAAACAATATATTATACTGTATGTATACTATACGTTTTAAGTTAATCTTATATAAAAAAGATATCATTTAAAATTCTTTAGGTAACATGCGGATTATGATAATATTGATAAATTTAAAAATTATTTTTGAAAATATCATGCATACATTCCATGCCATTAATTGTGTTGTTGTATGTTAAACAACGCTCCAAAGATGAGACAATGTTGTACTTAATGAAGCTCTGCGTTTGACTGAGTTGACATAGGGCTCTGTTTTGACACGTACGGAATTGTATACATGAATATCCTAGTTGCAGGACAATGTTTGCATCGTCATATTTATGAGAGTATCAAACGTTAATTAATAATCAGTCCGATGCGTCGTAGTCTTCATAGTTTGTCAACTTTGTTATTTTTGTTTCTATTTATATAAACGTAACGATATGGTACATTCGGATAAAACAGTTCAACAATTCTAATCATCCCATGTGGGAAAAGCGGACTCGTTAATGAAGAGATTCGTATCCTTTGATAATTGCCTTGTTGGCGCCGGTGGAGGAGGACGACTTGGATTCGACTTGTTAATTACCGATCGAGTGTTATTGGTGTGTACATTGTATTGTTGTTCGACTTGATATTGCTGATTAGTTGAAGCCGGAGCAGCGTTCCAAGTGTTCGACGAGTCCCATGACTGATTGGGATCCCAATCGTAAGTTTGCTGTTGATTTTGACTGTGGACAAAGTTCACATTACTCGTTTCCATCCAACAACATTGAACAGGAGCGAGGATTACGTTACCTGTAAATATTTTGATCGCTCGTCGGATTGAATTGAGACTCTTGTGCAAACTTCGGCTTCTCGATATCGGTTACAGTCAGTTCAATATGATCCCCGTCATTTCCTTCCTCCAGTGTACTATTCTTTATTCCGTAGTAAAAGTACATTATGAACCCTGCATACATTTATGAAAATTATATCTGTATCAACAACGAATGTCTATAGAACTTACCGAAACTCATCCAAATAGTAAATCTGATCAGTGTTAAAATTGAGAGTTTAAAAATCAGATATATGTTGACGGTAATGGCAACGGCAGGCACAAAGGGTAGTCCTGGTGTCATAAACATAACGCTATTTCTAAAATGAGAACAAACATTATAAACTGTAAATAGTTAATCTTAGATGAATTTACCTATTTTGCGGTTTTCTCGATATAATTAAGAGGATCGCAATAATTGCGATGAGAAATACGAAAAAGAAGAATGTAGTGGCTCCGGTCATGTTGTGCATGCCACAGACGATGATAAGGTCGAAGATAATAATTAGTACGTATAAAATTCCTACCATTTTCATCACAAACATTCCAGACTCTTCGGTTGCAGGTCCAGTATCAACCCAAGGGAAGATCGCTGGACATAGATATGTTGCTGCCTTTAATAATATAATCATAGTTAAGATGATTAATCATTTTGGGTATTATGAATATTTACCTGTAACCTACGACCTAAGTAACCTAAACTAGGTCCTACCGTTGACCCCACTACTCCACCAGTACTTGTGGCACTACTAGCACCATGTAAAGTTCCTAAAATTATACAGAATAAAATTATTTAATTTAATTCGGTGATGAGTTGTTACCATAAAATTTGTTTTCGGTTCTATCTGATACTAAGAATTGGTCGTCGCGCATAGAAAATTCCTCTTCCTGTTCATCACCTGGATATGTGTCGTCGCTATCTGGAGAACTGAAATTCATTTATCATTAAAAGATGGTAGTTTGTTTTAATTTTAAGAACAATACCTTCTTGTGACTCTTCTAACCATGACTCGTTGAGTGGGTTGTTGAGGAAGCGGTGATGGAGAAGGAGCAGGCATTTGGGTTACGTCCAATGCTTGCTTCAACGTATCCGGATGTAACTTTGTACCGTACATCTGGCCGTTGGGTGTGTGTCCGACAATGTCCTTCGATGGTGAACCTTTGATGGGAGTTCGAAGACTTTGAGGCAATAGTTCAACTAGATTAGTCGAATGCGGTTGATATCTCAAGATCAGGACGCAAGTGGATACCAACGTGTAAGCTAACAGAGTTCCTGAGAAACAAATACAACTATGTTAATTGCACAGACACCAGCCTGCAGCAAATTTACCAATTGACATCATCTCTACTAATATCTCGAGCTTGATGAAGAGGGCCGCAGTTGCCGCGGCTAATCCGCTGATAAATGTAGCAAGTGCCGGAGTTCCGGTGCTGGGCCAGACTTGTGCAAACATCCTAAAATAAACATGAATTTGAATACGGGGACTGCTCGACCTTCTCCACCAGGTTTATTTACTTTAATATCAAACCGTCCGAAGCCATCGCGTACACTATGCGAGGCATAGGGAACATCGAGCCGAACATGCTGACGGTCAAACCGGCAAGAGCTCCGACAGCCACGATGTATTTACATTTGTAAGCGCCTACTTGACCAAACATGTTCACCAGAGCAGAATCTTCACTCACTTCATTATACGGAACTAAAAAACGAGTTATTTTGTTAGTACGATAATTATTGAATACACTTTAGATGTATCAGCTTGAACCTATTAACGTGAGCATCATGGAACTAGTAACGTAGGCAATCAAAATAATCACCAAGCTGGAAACAATCGCGAGAGGTATCGATTTCTTGGGATTCGTAGCTTCTTCGCCGGTCGTCGCAATTATATCGAACCCAATAAAGGCGTAGAAACAGGTTGCTGCACCAGTGAACACCTGGAATTTGTAATGAGAATGTGTAACGTTGATGGAATGCGATTTGAATTCGATGTGGAAAGTGGAATGAATGAATGTTCGTTCTTACCCCGGACCAACCGAATGGTAGGAAACCTTGATGCTGAGACCAGTTATCATATTTAACGTAGAATAGGCCAGCCGACATCACAAATATCCAAACGGAAAAGTTTATTGCGTTGAGAACGTTATTGAAGATCAGCGACTTTTTAACACCGGCCACCAATAGCAGCATCATCAGTAAAGTAATAACAAAAGCTAAGAAATCTGGTGGTCTTCCTATAAGATAAATAAAGCAAAGAGAAAATTGAAATCTATTACATAAAAAGAAAAATATCAATGGAATAACACAGAAGTGAAGCAAAGCTTTGAATACCGAACGTTATCTGAATATGCATTATTCTAAAAGTTTTGTTATTAAAATCGTATTCATTGCAGTTTCTAATAGAGTTAAGAGTTTATAAATAAGAACATAATAATCCATTGAAATTATTGTTTCAGAATTCGTTTGATTACATTACTTACCGAAAATGGATCCGAATGTATTTGCAATGGTAGCGCTGATGGCACCATCTGCAAGTGCATCAAAGCATGCGCTCAACGCGCAAGCACATGCACTCGTTCCAATCAGGTACTCCAAAATCATGTTCCAACCTATTACGAACGCAATAAATTCACCCACTGTTACGTAAGAATACATGTAAGCAGATCCAGTCGTGTGAGGAACTCGAACACCGAATTCGGCGTAGCATGCGCCTGAAAATTTAAATAAGATTTTAGAGGTACATTCGTAACTTCCTCCACCGAATGATTGGAACTTTAAAGCTCGACGCATCCCCATGTGTATTCCCGAATGTTCTTAGAGACTGCTTAAATTTGAGATGTACAACAGCTTCGTATATTAATGGATCATAATTTGATTTCGTAATGTAAAAATAGAAGCGCGCACTTGTTGACTTTCTTTTATGTTTCTTCGAGCATTGTTGGGAAAGTTAATCAAGAAATCAATCAAATTCAATTTTCTTTCAATGGCTGTAAGTGATTGACAGAACGTTCTATTGTGCAGAGAACAATTGCCAGGTTCTCGTTTCGTATCGTCGGAACGAAACTCCACTCCACATCAAATTACTATAGAAAATAAAATGCTCTTAGTTATAAACATATTGATTATATTCTGAATATAGTATTTAACTTAATAATTGAAAATGCAGACATTGAAAAACGAATCTGCAATTAAGTATAAATAATGTATATTAATGGTCTGTTGAATTATTCAGAAAAGGGATTGTCGTAGGGAGAACAAATCACGATTTATTTAATCGATGATGAGGTTAAAGCAAATACTATAAATATATAATTACGTTTATTGATGACTAGTTAATCGATATTGTGTTTCCATTTCACGGTTTACACGTTTCATTTGATTTCAAATACATGTTGTTCGTATCGTAATTACAGGCAGAGCATGCACACAAATCATATTCAAGTTAAAATCATATAACTTACTTCATGTACTATTATTTCCATTATAAATAATACTTATTATTTATTCTTCACCTCACTTTTATTTATTGCTACATAATTCTCACTCACACTTTACGAAAGAAGAATTTGTCGATTATTACGCTTTTAAACAGTACGGCAAAACCGATTACTCCGTGGTTCGTGAAGCACTTTTATAACAAAGTGATAAAGTAGTTTATTTAGGTCAATAAATTGAAATTTATTTTATACACAATCAATACAAATATTTTAATTGAAAGTTATATAGAAGATATATTTTTTTGTACAATACTGAAGATATTGGAAAAGTTATTTTTTGAATTACAAGTTTCTATCTTTTAAATTTACTATATTAGATATCATCATTTGTCGATTAGTCCGGTTTCAAAGAGTGTGGATATTGGCAGAACCGATTACCTGCACTATGCGAGGTATTTCTGTACAGAGAAAATACAATAAGTCATTAATTTATTTCAATTATTTTGATAGTTAAATAACAACAAAAAATAGGACTGAATATTAGGACAATTGTTCTTGACGATAATCGAATTAAGTATAAATAGAAAAGGGAATATTGAATTCCACTTGAATTCCCTATTGATTTTACATTTCGGACGAATATAATTGTGTTCGCTGGAAAGAAAAAAAAGAGAGGTGGAATTTTTAATATTCGCGTTCGTCCGATCATTTAGACTCGAAATTTTAAAAGGACTACGAAAGAAGCACTTTTAGATCTTTTTTAAAGTTTTTTTTTTCTATCGAACTTCCATAGATTATGTATTCATTATGTAGAATTGAAATATATGAAAGCTTTTTTATATAATAATAATGCGAAGTTAGTTACATTATATTTGTTTTTAAATTAATAATATATACCAAATATGGGCAAATGTGGCTCTTAGCATGGGACTAATTGTTAAGTTAAGTGTGGCTCTTTTATGTATGAATATATATAAAACACGAATGCGGCTCTCGTTTAATTCATGTGTATTCACCCAGATAAATACGATTCTTGTTTACAATCAAATAATTAGAACATAAGAAAATATATTAATTAATTAAATTCAAAATAATATCATGAAATTAAACAAAAAAATACTAAATACTGCATATATTTCATTATCATACATATATACAGAAGTTCATAGAATTTCACTAATTAATGATATGCGTTTGATAATATTAATCACAAAGTATTAGATACAATAGTCAAATTACCTTAATTGCTAATTACAGTAAATGCAGTGATCTAAATACATCATAGTGCACAATGCAACAATTCTAATTAGCTCTCGTGTTCCAAACCAATTTAATATATCACCGAGTCCCAATGATTTATCTTATAATTTCACAACTATACTACTTTAGATTTTATATATCTTCATTGTTTTCATACAAATATTATTTAAAAATAATTCTGTAATAAAATATATTCAGTAAAATGTTTGCCGGATAAAATGCTTGGCGGCACATAAACAGATATTTATGTTGGTATAAAATATGAGCTTTCAGAGAAATAAATCGCCTTTTCGTATATTATTCTGCGCATTTATTGTAAAACCAACGAATAATTCAGGTGAATGTAAGATTGCAAAGTCTATTATTCATCAACTGCAAACATTTAAATAAGTAAGTGTATCCTTTCAGTTGGTTTTTGAATTTGAATTGTTGAAACTGAATCATTTTTCTTGAATTATAGCACCATTCAATATAACTGTTTGTGAATTTAAGTCATTTTTAAATCTAGTAACCGTATCCAATCGCTTCATTTGTTTTATTATTTAAATAACAAATTTATAACAAATAGAAGTCAGAACAAATATTTCTATTTAACAACTGTAATATTTTGTGTATGTGGTGGATGCGCCGGGGAAATATAGTAATTTCAATAAAATTAATAATATTACATTTTCTTAAAGATGAAAATGTTATAAAAGTATACAGAAATACCTCGCATAGTACGGCTTCGATCAATCCGGATCCACTATAATCGGGTTTAAAATTTGTATAAAAAACTAAATTTTAATTGACAAAATAAAAATAAATTCTAGAAAATTAGTACAGTAAGAAAAACGATCAAGTCTTCGATTAGTCTAACAGTCTGGGTTATTGGCGGAATCGATTACCCGCACTATGCGAGGGATTATAATTATCTTTGATGTTTAATGATCTAAGAGGATTTAGTATTAACATACCTGAGAATATGCTAGCCACAGCTGCTATAATGAAACTGAATATAACACCTGGACCGGCCACCCTTCTTGCCACCATTCCGGCCACCAAGTACATCCCAGTTCCAACGCAGCTTCCAACCCCAAGCGACGTTAAATCCAGCGTAGTCAAGCATTTCTGAAATAAGCAAAGCATACATTAACATTACACAAACACAGAATATAATAATATACGGAAATGTTTATGAAGTAGCTTTGTTTGCATAGTAGTAGATTTTTTCATGTCCAACAATTACGTTTGAAGAGAAAAAACGTACTTTTAGTTCAAAATTAATCTGTGAAAATAATATTTTAAAATCGATATTATTTTTGTAGTAACATTAATTCAATTTATTTTAAAAAAATAAACAAAGTACAGTAATTAAAAACTTGAATTTGGTATATAGACATAATGTTTTTACTTAAATATATAAAAACTACCTTAGGTAACTAATAGTTGTTCATTATACATTAACTATCTTAACATGACAGGTATATCATGTTATTAATAGAATAGATTCATAATAGATGAATTCTGGCTTGTTAAATTGCTTAGCAAACTTAGTTTGTAACTTACGTAATGTTAACTTATTTAAATAATTGAAACTTTCCCATAATATTAATTGCAAAGATAATAAGTAATTATATTACAAATTATAGATACTCGGGAAATGTGTATCCGTTCTACTAAGAAACCTATTATCATTTATATTGACTTTCTCGATGAAAATCAAATTAATACGAATGATGTTAAAAGGAAACTTGCGTAAAGAAAATATTATAAATGATTCAATTAATATTAATATGACTTTTAAGAGCACTCGTATGTCTTATTTCACTTTGCGAAGTCGTAAAAGCTTTTCTTTCATTTTTCTTCGCTTTAAATTATGATCATCCCATTAACCTTATTCATATTCGCAGTTCTTTATCTTGCGCGGATTTAAATCTTATGAAAAACACTTAGTATTTCTAAACAAATCTATATACATTTTTATGCGTGATACTTTACAAGTAACTTTAAATTTACTTATATGATGTCCCTAGCACTTGTGATATATTTGTATAAGTATTGCATAATTTTAACTCACTTTATATTCTCAATTTGTGGTACCCATGTTGTTTACGTAACTATCAAAGCTGATTTTGCAATAATTTTCTGCAATTCTTGTTAGGTACTTGTATAAGTTACTTGAGAAGTGTCACGTTGTAAATAGACACCCCAATGACATGTTGTATCCATATTTTGACGTAACGAATATCAGTTGTACTAACTGCGATATTGACAATTGCAGCTGTCAAGTTACTGTCATCAGAATTTATAATAATGAATGGTAATTCGTACGACTGACACACATGTAAGTTTTATGCATAGCCTTTATATTCAAAATTCATAGAAATATAATGTATACAAAACAATGCATAAAAATACAACATGATGTGTATCTTTGGGAACAACTCATTTTCATATGGAAATTTGTCATTTTCGTGAAATTTGTAAACACAATTATTGATCATACCCAACCCGACCTGTTGGGTATCATGTGAATTACATTCATGTCTTCAGGGATCATTTTATGTTTGAACTTAGTTACCCCGAAGATTAATTTAAAATCATTAAACGCTCTTAAACTAAGCTCAATTGACCGTAACATTTCATTACATTTCCATATTCTACGCTGCAAAGCGCTTTAACGTCCTTCCATTGCCAATTTAAACTTTCGTACATTTTACTCTAAATTTTAGAATCTAAAATTTACTAATTGTAATAATAAATTAAATGATTTCCATATACATATCAAATTTGAAGTTTATTCAATAATAACAGAAATGCAATTAATTGAATATTATTAAATGAAATTCGAATTTACAGAATGTTTACTCAACATTCAAATTTCATTTACGAATTGTTTTGATTAATTAGATTTCCCTGAATTTATTAACATTTAGCAAACACGATTTTCCAATGTAACATTAACATAATAAAAAAAAGTATAAAATATTCAAGTGTATAAAAAAAATTGAGTTCAACGTACATTTAAGGGGTTTGAGGTAGTTGCCCTTCTGTAATTACGTGTTTTCGTGGAGCATATTTTTCCCACGTGGATTGCACTCGGAAATGCTATTAAATAAATTAAATATTGTAACACAATCCCTATGGTAACGGTAAATTTCATTATATTTTATTCACGTGATTTCGACGCAGAACGAATTAATTGAATTTGTCCAGTATTTTATTCATATTCTGGATTTCAGCGTAATAAAATCAATTAATTCCCAATAAAAAAAAGGACACTAAACAAAAACTGATTGGTAGGACTGCTATTGACAAGTCTATATTAATTAATTTATTGTTTTGAACGAAATAAATCAAATCATTGTCATTGTAATATAAATAAAATAATGTTATAATTAAAAAATATATATATTTATAATTGAATGTACCACATGGACATGGTTTTTATTCATTTTGTTTGTATTTAATTAAAAAGAATAAATCTAACTAAAGATTGCAATTTTACATCTTTATAAATGATTTAAGTAGAAAATTTGATGGGTGCTTTGGCAAGTTCTACACTTCATAGCGAAGAAGGAGGGTACTGGTACTGTGAAGAAGATGACAACCCGGAGCATACGTTTTTAGATGCTGTAGATGGGCAAAGATGAAGCACGGAGAACTGATAAAAGTAGAGACGTTTCTTGGTGACGTGCTGAAGAGCCAAGAGATCATAGGAAGATACGTAATAGAGGCACTCTCAATTTAGGAAGAAGAGTGGAGAATAGAGAGGAAGAAAGTGGTTAATGAATTAAGGAAATATACCAAAATACCTGGATCATCCAACCTTTGCAAGGTTTCCTCTCTTCTACAAAAATAGATCTGCTCCTTCTGCTCTAGAAAGTGGTAAAGGAGACTAGCAAATATCGATATGCTTGTTAGCAAGGACAAACTGAATAACGAAGATATACCAAAATATCGGACCTGGATCATCCAACCTATGCAAGGTTTCCTCTCTTCTATAAAAAAAGGTCTGCTCTTTTTGCATTTGTATATTACAAGAGTTATGAAAGATTTGTAAAAATAAAGAGGAAGAAAGTAGTAGAGGAGACCAACAAATATCGAAATGCTTGTTAGCAAGGACAATCTGAATTGTAAGAAAGATTTGTAAGGATAAAGAGGAAGAAAGTGGTTAAGGAGACCAACAAATATCGAAATGCTTGTTAGCAAGGACAATCTGAATTACGGAGATAGACCAAAATATCGGACCTAGATCATCCAACCTATGCAAGTTTTCCTCTCTTCTACAAAAAGGTCTGCTCTTTTTGCATTTGTATATTACAAGAGTTATGAAAGATTTGTAAGGATAAAGAGGAAGAAAGTGGTAGAGGAGACCAACAAATATCGAAATGCTTGTTAGCAAGGACAATCTGAATTACGGAGATATACCAAAATATCGGACCTGGATCATCTAACCTATGCAATGTTTCCTCATTTCTACAAAAAAAATCTGCTCTTTTTGCATTTATATATTGACATAGTTATAAAATATGATTAAAGGATAGAAAGGAAGAAAGTGGTAAAGGAGACCAACAAATATCGAAATGCTTGTTAGCAAGGACAATCTGAATTATGGAGATATACCAAAATATCGGACTAGGATCATCCAACCTATGCAAGGTTTCCTCTCCTCTACAAAAAAAGGTATGCTCTTTTTGCATTTGTATATTACAAGAGTTGTGATATAAATGTTTAGGAAATTAATAAACCAACACACACTGAAGGTTAAAAAAAAGTACATCGTTAACTGATTGCATATAACTCTGATTACGTGTCATAATAATCACCACATAATAGTGAAGGTATTCGGTAATAAACTAGTATTCCAAATATAGCAATGACATTTACATATAATTCAAATAACGATAATAAAGTGCTCATGCATATTCATTTTACCAGAGAGACAATTCATTTATATTTAAGTGCGAAACTCATCCACCTTCCTCCCTCCCAAGGTGAACCTCATGTAATTTAAATACGGAATTTGCATTAGTACGGATTGCGAATGTTGATCTACATTTATTTTATTCAATTTTTCGCCGTCCATTTTCCGCACAAATGGACAATGTCTGAACGTCGAAACGCTGCTTATTCATACGGAAAGTAGTAGTATGCTTCGGAAAGTTTATCTTGAGAGTTATATCAGGCGCATTTTCCGGGCAAACCGACAAACAATGTACATTCTTGCGCAACTGCATTTTCCAGACTGCGGATTCTGTGACATTTCCACAAACCTCATTATTTTTCTTTCCATGCAAATAAATATTTCAACGACGAAAATTTATTTGCTCGAAACCAAACGGAAAATATTAACATCATTTACGTAACACAATTAAAATTGAATTAAATACAGATTTGAAAATACAATCACAGTTTAATTGTGTGTTCCTGGAAAAGCTTCAATGTTATACGTGCTTCGTGTTCTAAGTCGAAATCTTTGCTGTGGAAGGAAACGGTTTCACTCACCGTTAGTTTTATCTTCCTGTCGTCTTCTCGCGGAGGTCGTGTTTGTTCCTGAAGATTATCAACATTTTTCGTACGGATTAGTTTGCTGAAGAGGACTAAGCCATCACGGCGTAACGTTTCGCGATCGGTGGTAAACATGCCGAGCTTCATTCTGCAACAAAAACAAACAATATTTGAACACTTTATATTATTAAAATATGCATCTCAATGAGATCAATAAAATTATGAGAAGTGGATTTTCTATATGTTAGAAGAAATTGATTAGAACAAATTCTTACTCTCTTTTTAGGGAATTTACAGCAATACTTCGCATAATTCGGGTATTGGGTTTCACTAATATGCCGGACTATTTGAAACCGGACTAATGGGAGAATTAAATACATACAACAAATAAACGGACAAAACACTTGAGACTTGATTCTATAAAGAAAAGAGAATTTTCCACATTTAAAATTTTAATTATGTTTTGAAATTTTCATACTGATTGATCCTAAAACATTTATTTAGTGTTTTATTTGCAATTAACTAATATAAAATGTAAGGTATATCAGGAAATGAAGAATATATTTGTATTTTGTTGGATAACTTATTTTTATTTTTATGTAATACGTGTATCGGTGTTGCTGGAATTCAGTGCAGATGTGCTTGGAGTGCAAAAAGAGTATACATGTGTGGGGAAATAAATGTTTCTTTGCGGATCTTTTCCGTGCTAGCTTTACGATGCTTTTTTTGTTTTTATATGCTAGTCAAAATTGTATGAGGCAATGTATACGGAAGAGGTAGAGGCGTGTTCGAGGGAAAGAAATCCGACATACAAAGAGAGAGGCATTCCTCGCGATCAATATCCTCTTAGTGCGGTAAGAATGAAACGGTTTTCATAGTTCACTCGAAACTCCGATTTATCAACTCAACACGTTTATACATATTTAATATTATCAAATTAATATTCCGGCTGCTTTTGTTTGCAAACCAGTAAACTTTTGTTTCTTGACATGTTTTATATGAAAAACGAGATTACAGTAATATTTTCAAGTCACAATAATCGTTGTTTTTACATATTACAAACATCTTTCTTGACAGATTAAAACTAATTTCACAATATTTTTTGTTTTAATAAAACACATCAGCTTTATTTACTTTTAAACAGAATTTATAAGTATTTGAAAACGGAATAATGAAGAGACATTACCTTACATAGTCCAGATTGGAATGCGTACAAATCGAGGACTTTAAAACATCATAAAGGGAATAATTGATCATGTGTGTATAACATAAATTGTGAGAGGCCCAAAGACTGTTAGACAAGGTTCCACAAATATTCCCTCTAACAGTGTTAGCCCCTGTATTTCGAAATTTTTAAACCGAACTATAGTGAATCCGGGCTGATAGAAACCGCACTATGCGAGGGATTAGCAGAAAGTCTTTGGACAATAATCCTTTCTATGAAACGAACAATACATTGTGTAAATTGTATTGAAATATTCACTAATAATTCCCAGAATTGATAATAATAAATTATATTCATTATTTAGTTTTCAATCAATAATGCATTGAAATTCTGGTTATCATTGTATTCAAGTTTTCGTGTGTTTTGAAACAAAAGGCTGTATACGGAGGAGCGATCTCAGGATATCATTGTTAATGGAAACCGGACGTCCGACGAACGAGGTTTATCTTCTGGAAACTTCGTATCTACATCGAAATTTCCACAAACAACATTGTGCGCGTTCAGTAAATAAACAATAATTCAATTTCTCGCAAAAAGCAAGTTATCTTGCTGTAGTTACTTCTGCACATGCGACGGACTTTCCTCGTAAATTGCAAAACCAATTTGTGTAAAGCCCACACTTGCTGACGTTCATACAGCTTCAACACTATCTATAAAACAAAATAATAATTTCCTTCTTCACACATTTCTCAACAAACTTCGCATTTGAACTTTTTGATATTAAAAAATTAGTCTAATAATTAGTAATAAATTTATAGTATTTTATAATCAACATGAATTAACATGCGAAAATTCATTAAATTCGTTTATTATTCTATTAAAAAAATGGATTTAGTGATTATAGAAATGTAGTTTTGCTGAATATTTAATAAAACGATTGAAACGAGAGTCCAAATTGAGCTATTAATTAACCATTCGAAACCCGAAACGAGTGAAAAAATATACATGAATAGAAATTAAATATAGAAAGGACGATAAAATTATTTTGAATTTTGTATGAATCTGTATTTGCAAAAGGTTGCTGGCTTTTAATACCACCTTTTTTTTGGTAAATTTTTCATTTCAATAAACATTTTTAACAAACGAATCCGGTTCTGTCATATCTAATATTTAAAATTAAATACAAAAAAATATTTATTGGAACAATTATAAATTTAATAAATATATAATTACAAAATAAATACAGTAATCGTTCTAAATGACCATAAGATTTTCCTATCATTAAAAACTATTAAATTTTAATTAGTATCCTAAATATATAGGTAATTTTTAAATTATACCAAATATATAGATTATCTATAGTTAATATGATAGTTTTTTTTTTGGTTTATAATAGACTTATACATTGATTTGTGAGAAAATTAATATGGACATAAAGTACATTTTAAGTTTATTATGTTTGTATAAAGAAGACGCATATAGCTTATAGCGTGGAGTGTGGATTATGTTTATTGCTTTAGGACAAGTTATGTTATGCTAACATCGTAAAATATTATACACATTTTATACATTTCAGCGAGAAAAGAGGGTGTTTTTCATAGATGTGTAAATGTATTGTCTTCAATAAAATAAAAAAAAAAACTATAAAATATGAATTGTACAAATTTCATATCTATAATAAAATAATTATATTGGGTTGGCAAAACACTTTGAATAGTAAAACTTTTATTAATGATGATGATATTAAATCTTACTGGGTTCATTTTTATTGATGATAAAGACCAGAAGTTCTAAGAACGCAAAATCATGAAAATTCTATAATAATATGTATGAGTTCATCTTACTCTTTTATTAATACTAAAATATAATGTTTATTTTTAAGGTTTTCTTTTATACGAAAAAAGAAATATTTCAACTTTTTAGTATACGATGAAAGCTCATTAATATGTATTAAACAATATTGCAAAAATAATAATAAATTTATTGATTTACTGACTACGATGGTGCAAATCTTCTATAAAGAAATTAGGTCAAAAAGAAGCCCTACACTATGAAAGAACCTGTGTGAACTTGACATATTATGAATGTTGTATGGCTTTCGCTGTCACCTTTTATATAATTTAATAAGCTTCATTGTCGCTGCTTACCTACTGCGTCAGCAAAAAGGGCGATGCGAATTGAAGCGCAATACTAAATAGGGGTAACCGGAGCGCCATCGATTCGCGGTAGCAACTGGTTATTCATCCCTATCTGTTGCAGAGCCACCCTCGCTTCCCGACGTACACGCACTCGCATCGCAAACCCTAACGCGATAGGCTTTTTACAGCCAACGACATTACAGGCAGATTTCACCCTTCGAGCGAAATAATTACACTCATACCCATCGATAAATAACCATCCATCCACCCCGTCTCTTATCTAATCCTTCCTACAGCACAGCTGGACACAAGCATCCTTGTTTTGATCCTTTTGATGCCCGCATTCAACCAGTCTAATGTAGCGTCAAAAGCTGTATAAATTAAATCGATTGATGGTTCCCATGGGAACAGTATTATATAAGTAATACAACTTGTAAAGTTTAACGAATGTTTACAAACAGTTCGGTAAGTTTTACAAACTTGATTAATTGTTCTATACACAAAAAACGAAAACAAATTTCATAATTTGTTTAATACTCGGTGGTAATTAGTGTAAAGTTTATTTTACAAGAAAATTAAATAAACAATTCACAGTTTGTATATAGTCTAATACCGTTTTTGAAACAATAAATTATATAAAATACCTAAAACTAAAATATACTGGTAAAACTATAGTTTTATATTTGATGAACATTTTTGATGATCAAATTGTCAGGCGTGATTGATTGATGATGAGCAAATTTGATAAATTGGAAATAAAAAATATTTGCTCAACTTCAATACTGATACTGCTAACAATTGAAATGTTTAAAAAATCAACATTTAGATCAAAGGTTTTGTTGTAATGTATTTGTATCAGTATTTCGCTTTTATTTTCAGTTAAATTCCATTCAAATTGATTGTACTAAGCTAGCTCTGATGTTATATAGATGATAATACACATTAAAGCTTTGATTAATTAAAAATTAGTTAGTACAGAAATGTACATTTTTAATGAAATTGTTTAAACTATCTTTCCGTAAATATATTTTCTATATGAATCTAAATATCAGATTCTGCATTTTATACAATGGGAATAGTACAAAAGGCTGTTGCATCTGAATGCAAAGAAAAATAAATAGAAACTGGAAACACTAAAGCTTACACTTCAGCCAGACACTTCAGAGAAGTGGACTCACAGACGAGATGTGTATATAGTAACAACCGCAAAGTTCTATAAACGGAATGGAGGAAATACATCAGTTTAATCGAACTACTAGTATAAAACTTGAGAGTAAATTACTATTAATTTACATGAATTCGAGTATGAACGATTTATCAAAAGTGTAGTATTCGACGCAAAGAGGTTATTGACATTACTAACATTTCATATCAATATACTTTGAAGGCTGCCAATATATTCAAATATATCGTGACATATAAATATGATACATTTATAAATCTCAAGCAAACATACATCGAAGTATTGAATATAAATGCTTTAGATCAGAGTTTCCCAATATTTTATACGACACACATCAATCCAAGTGTGATGCACCAGCACAAACCACATCTAAAGATCTTTCTATAAATTTGATGGGATTACAAAGATGTTGTGTATTTTGAATCCAAGAAACCAAACAATCGATTCAGATGTTTAATGAAACTGGAGGAAGTAATGAAAGAAATTTTTTATATAATATCTTAATAATCTTTGTTTTTAGTTATAAGTTACTAGTACACATGAGTAAAATAAATCTATATTAAAATCTTGTACTATTTTTATATTATTATATAATTTTACATATGGAAAACAAATATAAAATGAAATTTTGTATTTCTTTTTTAGTAAATGAAATTAATAAA